GATATGCTGACTCTGTAAACCGCTTAGAGAGGGCTGAAAGCCCTATGAAGCGGTATATAAGTCTAACTGCTATTGCTATTGCTCCTAGTCCCTTTCCTTAAACAATTCCACTCCATGGGGACTAGGAAGTGTGCCTTTCCTGTAGCTTGGAGAATTATGTTCAGTAGCAGACTCAAGCAATCTGTATTAACTGGGCAGATTCTTTTCCAGCATCGTCACTGAGGCCTCATAAATTTTATGGCACAATTTGTGTAAGTACCGTGTTTCTCTCAAAATAAGGCAGGGCCTTACTTTCTTTTGATTCCCACAAATAAGCACTGGGCCTTATTTTCAGGGAGGTCTTATTGAGGTGCAGGAGGCAGCGAGTGTGCTACTGCTATGTTGCAATATTTTTAGGGAGGGCTTATTTAGGGGGGTGAGGGCTTATTTTAACACATGTGCTGAAAAGCCCAATTGGGCTTATTATCTGGTCTTATTTTTGAGGAAACAGAGTAGAAGAGAGAAAGGACCAATTTAATAACAAGAAAACCTTGAACTATCTCCACAGCGGCTGGGGTGGAGACCGAGGTGCCATCATTAAACCATTAAGATACTTTGCTATGGTGAATGTGAAGATAAATCTTAGTTGAGGGGGAAAAGGTTACATTCTCTTGGCAAACGTTTAGTAGAAGTAGCAGCTAATTTCAAAGGCACTCCTTTTTGTGCTAGCAAGATCCATAGCTATTTCTATATCCTACAGCAGGCCTGTCAAACTGGCGTGGCCCGCGTAGGCCAAGCCCAGTCAGGCTCCGCAACAGAAAAAACACCCCGATAGGTCACCATAAGGCCCACGATGCAATCGGGTTTGACCCCCAGGCACTACGGGTTCCTTTTCTTTCAACAGCTTTCCTCCTCAAGAAGTCTCTCAGAGAGAAAATCATCATGCAGTCAGATTTGCCCTGCTGGAATGAAAACTATGTATTGAAATTTTAATGTAGACACGGTACAGGGCTACTGTTTCTGTAAACGTATTTCTTTTCCAACTGCATACAGGAGGACTTCCGAACTAAAGTTGAAGATTACATTAAGCGCTATGCAAGATGATGATGGGAGATGGATAGCAAGGCCATGAACGCACCTTGATGTTTTCCTAAAACCACCGCCACAAGAAAGAGGGGGGTTTTTTTTGTCTTGTGTTCATGTTGTTTTGATTAAGAAAACAATCCTCTTTGTTCAATGAAAAGTTCACCCATACAGCAAGATACAGATGTAAGTTGGCTACAAAAAGATGTTTAACGTTCAACAATCTCTTTTTGAAATCGTATCATATATTCAGAAGTGAGATCTCCTTGATACTAAAAAGAAAGCCCTATTAAGATCATTTATTCATTTTAAAATTTTCTTAATAGCTAGTACAGAATATTTAAGTATGGCAATAAATAAATGTGGGCCAAAATTGAACAAGCATTATATTGAGCGCTTATATTAGCTCTGTCTACTGTTGCTGTTAAATTTGAAATTGCTGATACTCGTTCATTTTTTAATCTACTGTTTTCAATTTGCATTTACTGTGCAAAGCACTTACTGAAGTGGAGGCTGAGTCTGAACACATATAAATACAGTGTATTTCTTTTAAAACCTAACTATTTTACATGCAAATGTAATGAAAGGTATAATAGTTTTTAAATACCTTTAGTTTCCGGTGTGGAGAATTGCTATTTCAGATTATTATAAAACAAAATAATTTAAATTTTCTGATACCAAAGCTTTAGTAAAAAGCTAATCCTTGAGATCAAATTAATGCTGACTGTAACTTAACGGTAACACTGTAAGAAGCCATTTTTTTCAGGATAAACATGGTATAAAGAACTTTAAATATAACTTCAGTAGCTCTAACTCATGTAAAGATGTATGAACTACAAAACTATTTTGGTTGGGCGTACACTGTGCAGATTCTACATGCAATGGGTACTTCATATTTTATCTTAACTCTTTTTTAACAAAATGATCATTCAAAACAATGAGAATCGTACCCCTCAAGTAATTTAAAATTAATTAAATTATTGCCAGAGACAAATAAATGTTTACTTAGTTTCATACACATTGTGTGCATAATATTTTTGCCTCAACTTTTTTCATATAGAAGAATCTAATTTATTAGGTCCTTCTGTAATTTCCCAATGCAATAAACCTTCAATTTAATGGTCTCATTGGGAGAAAGAGATGTCTATAAAAGCAGGATGTCTGCTGATTCTGAATAGAATTTTACCTATGCATATTTTATGCATTTTTTTAAAAATGTAAAATTAGAATGAGATTTTATGCATGTTTGGAATGGTGAATGGGATTTTATTCATGTATAGATTTTAATCATTGCATCTGAAGTCTGAAAGTATTAAATCAAATGTTTGCTACATCATACTTTAAATTTTGATAGTCAATTTATTATAATTACACCTCAGTAAATATTATCAGTCATGACTCAAGGAGTCTACATGTCCCAGGATAATGTTGTAGGATCCAATGTGGCTCAGTCATGGGACCAGAGGTTTTGTCTTCTGGGCTTTTGATTGGAGCCCATCTTCAGGGAACTTCTTCCTAACGGAGTGTGTGCTGTTCTCTGTGTGATATTTATGTGGTGCCTGTTATATGTGGCTTTTAGATGCTGATTGGGGTGTGTTGATGGCTGGCTATCAACCATCAGGCCAGCCATCAACACCCCGCAGTCCACATCTGAAAAGCCACATACAACAGGCACCATATAAACACCACACATAGAACAGCACACATTCTGCTAAAGAGAAGAGGTTTCCTGATAATGGGCACCAGAATGAGTCCAAAAACTCGGAAGACAAAACCTCTGGTCCCGATGACCGACCCAGATTGGATCTATCATCAGTGTAATGATATTCAAAACAGGGCACCCTGAGTTTCAGTTGGCATGAGAATTAATTGAATACATGGATTAAATGTTCATTGCAATTAATGGTCCTTAGAAAATGCTTATTTGTTCGAATAGAAGTTTCAAAATAAAAATTATTTCTTTGAAATTTGAGTTACTCAGAGGTTCTGAGAAAAAAGAACTATCTGTTGTCTGTCTTTGGGAAATTATTTACAAATGTTTTGAGGCAGTAATGCAGTGGGCAGATAGAAAGAGCTTGTTTCCAGTAGGATGTTTTCACAAAAACATTGTTCGCATTTTGAAGAAATTTAACCAAAATTACAAAATGAGTATTGTAAATTGACACACATTAAACGTAGTTTTTCTCCATGAACAATGCAAAATTCTTAATACTCACAGATAGCCATCTTTTCATTTTCCAATAAATGATTGAGAAATAAACTACTGTATAGAAAACTGTGAACAGAAATAATAGCTGAGAAATGACAGAAGAATACAGAAAACAATTGGGACAGCTAACACAACTGAGAATTAGAAGCCATTGTTTTATGCTCACAATACTAAAGATAGTAGTTTTCCAAGGAGAGATCCAAGGATCTCTCCTTGGAAAACTGGAACATCTGGGAGATGTTGGCTTCGTGCAACATCTGCATGCAGCTGGGAGGGTTGACTGGAGCACAGCTGGCCTTTGGGAAACTGGTGTCCAATGCAGCTCAGAGTAACTGGTGGACACTGGAATACCTAAAAGGGGCATTGGAGATCTATAAAACTCAGGATCCATGAAAGAATAGAATACGCCAGTTTCCCAAATGACTCAAAAGTTCTTTGGAATAATTGTTTGGATTGTGGTTCTGTTCCAAGTGTGGCAATGCAAGACCCTTTAAACATTAATTTTGCATTCTTAATGGAGTCTGTGGTTCTGGGTCTGGACCAGCATTTGAATGCAGCCACTTCCATTAGAGCTATTGGGACCCCCCCGCTTGAGTGGCCGTGACTGTAGTTCCTGTCTCTCAATGTACTGTGGCTTGTGCAGTGAGGCTGGGTCTCCTCCCCCTCATACCTGCAGTCCATTGTTTTGGAGCCTGAAGGGCAACTAAGCCATAGGGTGGGAAATGGGGGGAACTGACAGCTTCCAAGTGAGTAAAGGCAAACTGGGTGGTCTTTCTCTGCACCAAAAGGTTAAGTAAACAGGATTGTAGGTGAATGTTGAACGATGCAATTGGGGGATGTGAACATGGCCTTGAGCAAACTGGGATCACTTCACAGTTCTGAGCAATGCATCCCAATGAATTGGCACACTTACCATATGCAGACACCATGCAGATTCAAACTTCCCTTTATTGGGTGCAGAGAACCGGTAGTACGTAGTGAAATGAAGCTGGCTCTTTCAGACTTCCACATACCAGTGGCATAAGAAGGCTTGACAGTCCCTGCCACTCCAGGTGTTCTCAGGTACATGGGAAAATCATCCGTCACTTCTCCCTTGGTCCGTTCTCAGCAGCCGCTAGTCTTGATCACTGGGTCCAGTCACTGTTAACATCCAGCTATGTAGGAGGGCACTCCCTCCGTCCACTCCCACCATCCCTCTCCGTACTGAGGCCTCCCTCCCCATGTGGGGGGAATGAAATGGAGCACAGGAACACCAGGCTGTGGCCGATGTTGCTTCGGAGAAATTGACACCTTCTCTTCCCCCTCCCAACACCCCAAAGGTACATCAAAGCAGAGAAAAGGGGCAAACAAAAATCCCACGCAAGCATAACCCAAATCCTCCCCCCCCCCTCTCCATGTGATGTGTGGAGTCTCTTTCCAGGCCTCTAAATGCTGGGTGGGCCCATGGTGTCATCTCGAAGCAAAGATCTGTTTAATCTCAAAGTGTTCACCTTCTACCATAGCAGGTTACGGTCTGGGGTGGGCGTGGGGGGTAAGAACGAGGTTACTTCGGGCTTTAATAGGCTGCAATGGAAGATTGGGGTCACTTGCCACAATGGTTAATTGCAGCTCCACTGTGACCAGGTTAACAATAATAATGATACGGGTGATGGGGATTTTGGTCCTAAGGATTTTGGTCCAAGTTTTTTAAATGGTTGGACCGGAAGAACTGAGTGGAAAGGTAGACTTTCGGCCCCCAACTTTAAAGGATTCAGGCTCCACTCTCTCTGTCTCTCCCTTGTGGGTTGCTCTTGCTTCGTCTGGGACTTTGGGAACCATGGGGGCCAGGTGGCCTTTAGCTGTTTTTTTAAAATATTTTTTTTCTAAACAATCCATTTGCCATTAACCAGTGTGCTGTCTGGATATATATTTTTGTGCCAACAATAAAATATACAATCTTATTCATAATTTAATCTCATTTTAGCTTAATTTCCCATACCTTAAGTATCTAATATTGTAACAATCCTATTGTAATTTATTTAAATCTATTAGTTATGTTAACTATTAATACATTTTCTATACTTTTGATAACTTTTTTTTACTATTAATTCTTATGTCTATTCTCTAACCACTGGTAAAAAAGATTTCCAAATTGTATAGTAATAGGTTCGTTCTTTCTCTTTGACAGCCAGTGTCAATCTGTTCATTTCTGCACATTCCAATATTTTCCTAATCACCTTCTCCTCTGTAGGGGTCTCTTCTTCACTTTTCCAATTTTCTGCAAATACAATCCTAGCTGCTGTTATAACATGAATAATCAACTATACATTTTCTTTACTATAGTTTTCTTGTAATATCCTCAGCAAAAATATTTCAGGTTTTAAATCAATATGTTGCTGTATCATTTTTCCCAGCCACGTACGTATTTTAGTCCAAGCAAAGTCAATGGGACGGCCACTGTTTTGAAAAAAGGCCTGTTCCTTGAGTTCTCTGGGAGTTCTACGATGAAATCCATAGAAATCTGATCCAGGGTGAAGGATCAGCTAATGCTTTGCCGTTGTGCATGAGGGGAGGCTGGCAGCATAACTTTCAGTGTCCTTGTTAAGGGATGGCCACCAAAATTGTCATCTCGGGAGGTGCAAAGTTTTTACAAACCCAAAATGCCAATTTGGAGTCATGGCAAGCTTGCTTGGTTTTTAGTCCTTTGCTAGCTGGGACATAAAGAGTTTTCCTCCCCACCACAGTGGTCCATCTTGCATGGAGCAGGTGTTTCTGTGGTCAAGGGACCAAAGGTTACAGTGAGGGCAACATCCACAGGGGGGGGGGGTCCTTTGCTTGAGATCTTGTGGTGACCCGTGCTGCTACCATGTTTTACCGAAACTCTGACCTTCCCTGAAAATAAGTCCTAGCTTGATTTTTTGGGGGTGGGCCTAATATAAGTCCTACTCCAAAACATAAGCCCTGACCAGCACAGGAGGCAGCCCCTCCCTTCCCCTTTCACCGCATGGTGGCTTGGCCCCTTAATCACAGCCTGCAGATCAGCTGAGCCAGTGGGGGCTGGAGCTGCCTCTCGCTCTGCCTCTCTGGGCGCCTGGAGGGGCTTCTGGTGCACTCATGATAATCAGACTGTGTTTAGCAATAACATGTATAATCATTAAAATATGAAATACTATATAAATTTTAAAACATTGGCTTGCCTTTATTGCAACATTACATTCTTTATAACAAATCATTTAACTGAATTCCAAATACAGAGATTAAATAATAATAAAAACTTTTCTTTTTTTTTTAAAGTAAAGCTATTGCCATTTGATCCTGAAATGAAGTAGTCATAAATGAACAGGAGAAAAATTGCTTATAAAGTTTTATTTGATGAAGTCAAATAAGGTCACTTTTGCTTCCAAGACCATTTTCATCCATGATTTCAAAACTGAACATTTGTTCTGCAATGGCTTCTGGTTCCAGGGTTTTTATATATATATATAAGAACTTGATAAGGATATGCTAGGGTTGCTATTCTTTCAGATGCAGCCATTACAGGAAATCTGAAAATTAGTCTTAAAAAAAAACTAATTTCCGGAAAGAAAATTCAAATTTCCAGTTTAACAGGACAATAAACGTCCTTTCAGTATTGTTTTCAAAATGCCGTATCGAATTGAGGACTTAAAGGGAGATATTATGTGCTTATTGAATTGCTTACAGCTACAGTATTGAATCTGAGAGAGACAATCATTTGGAGCAGTTGTTCATAATCACAGTTGTATCAGCTCAGAATCTACATAGCCAAAACTTCAGGAGGTTGGCATGTGGGCACATGGATTCATGCATGAGAACTGTGTTGTCTTCAGAAACATGGAAGGATCCCAAACAGGTGCAGCCATAAGTTGTCAATCAGTCCAGCAGGCCCAGCAAGAGCTCTGCCATCTATCTATTGCTGAGAGAGCAAAGCGCTTCTATTGGCTTTCATCTTCTCTAGGCGTTTAACTAGATGGCCATTACTGACTTCAAGCTCTTCCGTTTTGTCTAATGCTGATCGAAGCTGGAAAAAAAAAACCATTTAAAAGAGACATTGGATTCAAATTAAAGTATAGAAAGTAGGATGCCCCCCCCCCGACCTCCAGCAATGACTGATATGCCAGATGGAAAAGAAAGCCTGCTTGGAATCTTTTCAGCTTAAGAAATTATCTTCTGGGGGATGATTCAAATAGGATCTCTACACGGAACAACATCTGGAAAACTTTTACAAATTATTTTTAAGCTCCAAAAGTTTAAGATGTCTTTTTGCTTATATATTGTACAGGTCTACAGACTTAGTCCTTCAGCTTAGATTAAAAGGACACCAAGATTCCAGTTCATTTCTTCTGTAGGAATAGCGACACATTTTTTTCAAAAAAAATTCTAACTAAAGAAGAAGATCTGCTCTGGCAAAGTTCTGAACAAAGAGTTCAGTTGGGATTGAGGTCAGAATAGTCAAGATTTCCTTTGATTATCTGCGGAAGAGTAATGCATCAGCAACCAAGCTTTGCTGATTTGAAGGTTACAGATTTTTTTTCAAGTATTATATCTACTATCCAGCCAAATATTACATTTGACAGATTCTGAAAAATTAAGGGTAAAAATTAGGTTTATTTTATGAGACATTTTTTGGTTGGCAAAGGATATTGGAGTGAGAGACCTGTTTCCAAAGATTATATAAGAAACATGAATTTTAATGTACAGGTAATCTTCGACTTACAACCAGAATGGAGCCTGCTCATCACAGTGGCAACTCATGATGGTCATTAAGTGAGGTGATCCTGTGACCACTTAACAATCCCTACCCATTTTCCCTCATGTGATCATTTAGTAGAACTCATAGAACCTCAGAGGAGACCCTGCGGGGCTTAAGGCAGACGTGGGTTTGCCTGCCCCGGCCCTCCCAAGGCCTCCTCCAACTCTGTTCCCACACCAGCAACGCCTATTACTGATTGCTCATTTACCTTCTATAGATCTCCAAACGGTAAATGCTCTACACCCACTCTCTCCTCCTCCCCTCCCCCCCTCCCCCCCCGTGACTGCTCACTTATGTGGAAATGGGCACAAGTGTGGCTGCTCTGAAAACGACAGTCCTTCCCAGATGAAGCCATGTGATTTAGGGGTGATGTCAAGGAATGGAGTGGCCTGCTCCCCTTCCCCAATATATGTGCCAGACATATACAAATGATCTATACCCACACCCTCCTACCCATCCCCCAATTGCTCACGTTTTGTAGATTTCTGGAGTTTGTGTTTGGGAAGGAGGGCAGGCCACTTAGCCCCCTGCAAGGGTCTCTGCCGGTCCCATGGCCCCATCTCAGAAGTGGACACCATTTTTTTGGAATAGCCACAATTCATTGGGGATCCTGAGGAGCAGAGTGGCCTGCTGTTCTTCGCAATATGAGCTCCAGAACATTGACAATCTTCCAATGGTAAGTATGTGATAGGTCAGCGATGGGGAACCTGTTATACCTTTCTAGGGTACCTGCCTTCAAACAAGAACGGATGGGACACAAAATAGGCAATAAAGAGAAATGAAAAAGTAAATTGCTCTGGACAATTTAGTATTAAAAGAGACAAGTACCTGTAACACCCTAGATTTAACAATTGCTGGTAAGAAAGTCAAATAACTTTGGATAGTAAACATGGTAGTACCTGGCGACACCAGAATAGAAGAGAAAGAACTCAAGAAAGTCACAAAAAAGAACTCCAAATAGAAGTAGAATGGCGATAGCATCAGAAGTAAGGTAGTACCAATAGTAATAGGCAATTCTTAAACTTTCAAAACATTTGGAGGGCAACTTGAATCCCCAAAGGCATAATCACCACCAGTCAATTGCAAAAGGCTTAACCTACATCTGTGACAATACCTTTAACACCCTCCAACATCTCCTATCCCATGTCCTGGACAGAAATGCCAAATCTAATCTAAAGATCTGACCGACTGTATGACAAATGGTTTTATTTATGTCTTTGAGTAATTGTTGATTCCTACAACTACCTGGAGAAGCCCTGCAGTTTTTTTTGGCTAAGGGTTGCCTTGCTTACTCCCTAGGGCTGAGACTGAGTGACTGGCTCACGGCCACCCAATTGGCTTCGTGCCTAAGGCAGGACTAGGTAATCAGGTAATCCTTGACTTACGACCACAATTGAGCCCAAAGCTTATGTTCTTAAGTGAGACATTTGTTAAATGACCTTTGCCTCATTTCATGACTTTCTCACCACAGTTGTTAAGTGAATCACTGCAGTTGTTACATTAGTTGAACAGCTGTTCATTGACTCTGGCTTCCCCATTGACTTTGACTTTGACAGAAGGTTGCAAAAGGTGAGCATCCAGACGCCGCGACCGTCATAAATATGAACCAGTTGCCAAGCATCTGAATTTTGATCATTAACCATGAGGATGCTGCAACAGTCATAAGTGTGAAAAATGGTCACAAGTGACTTTTTTCAGTGCCGTTATAACTTTGAATAGTCTCTAAATGAATTGTTGTAAATTGAGGACTACCTGTGCTCATAGTCTCCCAGTTTCTAGCCTGATATCTTAACCACTACACCAAACTGACTCTCTTCTCAAATTATAGGCCACAAGAAACTCAAATTTTCATTTTATCTTTTAAAATTCATAAATATAAATAATTTCACATGCAGGATATTTGATGCCCAGCTATGTATTTTATGAATGTGTCAACTTTCAATACAAATGTATATCTGCTGGACTGCTGCATGTGAAATATGCAAACTTTATTTAAAGAACCAATTATTTCCTGTGTTTTAAATAAGAAAAAAATAGTGTTTTACAAGAAGAAATCTTAAACTGGAAACATGTATTTTCATAATTTATGAATAAATTACTTCCCACTAAGAAGTACTTACTAGCATATAGTTTCAGATATCTGGAGAGGAACTGGGCAATGTTTGAACATAATGATTAAACAAAACAATTCTTTTGGTTCAGCATGAACACAATGCAATAAGTGATAAATTTAAAGTTTTTGAAATATTATTAAAAATGTGTGTGCATATGTATGTATCTATGTATGTATGTATCTATATGTATGTATGTATGTATATGTATGTATGTATGCATGTATGTATGAATGTTTGTGTGTGTATACATATATATACACACACACACACACACACACACACACACACACACACACACACACACACACACACACACACACAC